CCCGCTCCACACGGCACCCCCGCCGTCGCCAAGGAGACCCAGGCGCCCGCTGCCCCCCCCACTCTCCGGCCGCGCCCTCCCCTTTCCCCTCGGGCTCCAGTCCACTCCTGCCAACCCCAGAAACGACTGGAGAGTTCTGAGAAGGGGCGGCGCCCTCACCTCTGATTGGTCCAAGAAGGGCAGGGGCAGGAACCGAGGAGAAACCCCTGGAAGGTTCCCGACCGCCAGTCCAACCGCACCCGGTGATTGGCCCAGGCGCGAGTAGGCGGGGCTCGGTAATGACTTAAAACGGCGCTGCGCTGAGAGCCGAGAGACGCCAGCTTCAGCAGCAGCCAGCAGGATCCGCTGTCGAAGCGGCGACTTTGGGCTTTCTCTACTTTCTCCCCTTGGGCAGGGAGCGAGCTTCTCGTCGCGCATAGCGCATCGCGTACCGCCGACCCCAGTGCGAAGCTGAGCGCGGAGCCGAGAGGGCAGGCAGCGGCATGGCCAAGACCACGGCGATCGGCATCGACCTGGGCACCACCTACTCGTGCGTGGGGGTGTTCCAGCACGGCAAGGTGGAGATCATCGCCAACGACCAGGGCAACCGCACCACCCCCAGCTACGTGGCGTTCACCGACACGGAGCGGCTGATCGGGGATGCGGCCAAGAACCAGGTGGCGCTGAACCCGCAGAACACGGTGTTCGACGCGAAGCGGCTGATCGGCCGCAAGTTCGGCGACCCGGTGGTGCAGTCGGACATGAAGCACTGGCCCTTCCACGTGATCGGCGAGGGCGACAAGCCCAAGGTGCAGGTGAGCTACAAGGGGGAGACGAAGGCCTTCTACCCCGAGGAGATCTCGTCCATGGTGCTGACGAAGATGAAGGAGATCGCCGAGGCGTACCTGGGCTGCCCGGTGAGCAACGCGGTGATCACCGTGCCCGCCTACTTCAACGACTCGCAGCGCCAGGCCACCAAGGACGCGGGCGTGAAGGGGAGACGAGCCTTCTACCCCGAGGAGATCTCGTCCATGGTGCTGACGAAGATGAAGGAGATCGCCGAGGCGTACCTGGGCTGCCCGGTCAGCAACGCGGTGATCACCGTGCCCGCCTACTTCAACGACTCGCAGCGCCCCA